CGCCCTGCCGACGCGCGCCCCGTGCGCTGCGTGCGCTGCGTGCGCTGTGCAGGTGTACGTGCTGTGCCCCGCTGTGGAGGGGTCAGAGGCGCTCAAGGGCCAGCTGTTGGCCGTGGAGATGCCCTCCCTACTGGCCAGCGTGGCCGACCTCAAAGGCGCGGCTGTCAGAGGTGGTGGGCCTGGCCCCCGGGCGGCAGCAGCTGTCGCGCCCGCACGTGGGTGTGCTGAAGAACGAGCTCACGCTGGCATTCTACAACGTGGGGGCGGACGTGCAGCTGCAGCTGGGCATCAAGGAGCGGGGCGGGCGCAGGAAGTAGGGCGGCAGCGCGCACCCCGTCGCAGGCAGAAGCCGGCTGCTGGCTGGGCCGGCGCCTGCCCTCCATTGCTCGCTGCGGCGCTGCCAGAAACTTGTGTGTGTACACTGTTGCTGCCCTGTTTGCTGTTGTTGGCACCCTGCAAGAAGCAGAGACCCGGCAGTCGCGCCGCGCTCAGAACCCTAGCGCAGCGGCGCTTGGCGTGCGGTGGCATGGGGCCCCATGTGGGGCAGCACATTCAGCCTGTGTCAATTTGGCATCCGAGTGGTTGAGCTGCGTCTTGCAGGCTATTTGCAGGGCGTGTTGCTGCGTGGTGGCTGGACACTGGCGCGTCGCCGGGGTTTTGCACCAGCATGGGCCCACAGGTCGAGGCAGTCGAGGATATGGGCTGGACGGTGATAGGGCATGAAGACGCAATACCTCCCTCCACACCCGAAAGCTCCGAGCCAGCCATAGAAGCCAGCACACCCGCCAAGCCGAGCTGCGACGCGCCAGCCCCTCCTCCCAAGCCGCAGGTGCGTGCGCAGTCATTTCCGTGCAGCGGCGGGCCGCAGGGCACCTGCCCGCCAGGGCGACGGCGGGGGCGCCGCGCTCGTCGGCGCCTGCCCAGGGGCGCCGGCAGCCGCGTGGTGCCTTCCAGTCAGGCAGCTGGCATGGCGCACTGGCCTCCAGCCATGTGTGCATGCACGCCTTGACATGTGTGCGCTCGCCAGGAGAGGCTGGGCTGCTTGCGGCGAGCGGAGATTTTGAATTCGCGACAGGCGGGGGGGAGGCGAGCCAGCATGCGCCCCACCCACCCCCTCACCCACTCTCGGCTTGCGCTTGCGCGGTGCAGGCCAGCCCAAAGGAGCCCTGCAGTGCAGAGGTGGTGACCGCCAAGGTGAGCCATCCACACCCGCACACCCACCCCGCCAGCATGCCTTCCTTCCTCGCCCGCCTGCCTTGGATGGCTGGGGTCGGTACAGGGCGGGCTGCGCTCGCCGCCGCACGGCATGATTGCGCACCCAGCGGCGCCCGCTTTCTTGCTGGGGGTTGCAGGTGGTGTACTGCCTGCTGTGCCTGCTGGAAGCTGCCGTGAGGATGACCGCCGCCGCCGAGCAGGTGGGGCGCCTGGCTGCCTGCGAGTGCACCGAGGCCCGCCTGTGCGACCTCACAAGCTTCACCTCGCCCCGCCCGCCCCTGGCAACCCACCGCCCCCTTGTTCCCGCTTGCTTCTCTACAGGTGGCCCGCTGGCTGGGCGCCAGCGGCGCGCACCTGCTGCGCAAGGCTGAGCTGGGGGCCAAGCCGATGCTGGCCTCCGCCTCTGCCGCAGCCAGCCAGCAAGGACAGCTCTTGGGC